AATCATCCGCCGTCCTGTGTTTCAGAACGACAACGGCCTAAAAAAATGGCTGGAGTCCAGTTTTTTCCTATTGTCCGGCCCCCCCTGTTTGTCATTCCCCCGTGGAGCCGGATATTCTCCTGGCCTTATCAGCAGGGACCATAAAGGGCTGAGGGTGGAGCTATTTATTCTTTATTTCTTTCTTCATTTGAATTGTGTTAGTTCATTCTTGTTGTATCATTTACAGTATTTATTTGCAGGTTAATAATTGTCGATTCTATTTTCATTTCTTGTCTTATTATTTTTCTCATTCATTCTTTGAGTTAGACAGGAAGTCATGTGGGTCAGTCCACTTTCCTATAAGTATAGGGGCCTGATAAAGGACCAGCAAGGCATTTGGGTTTGGGGCCTATGGTTTTTACCAGAGCAAGAGAACAGAGCAAGATTGACAGAATGAGAACAAAAGAAAGTTTGAACTCTGTAATTGTTGCTGGAAAGAACAAATAAACCTTCAAGAATAATCAAGAAAGTTTGGATGTTAAATCTTCTTTTGCCTGCGTACAGAAACTGGACCCCAGTGCCTTGAGGAACCTTTATTGGGTGTTTGGTTTGACAAACAATCGCCACTACAGGCTGAGGGTGGAGTGGATGCTGGGAAGTGGGCAGATCCACGGAGGGGGGGCGGATAATGACCACTAGCTAGTAGCTACCCGACATATCTATAGAGATCATCACGCAAAGCCCGATCGCACACCGCCACAGACACCAAACTGTTCCATTAGGATTCAGGGTGGAAGACGCCGAGTGATGGGAAAATGGGAGATGACTGCGAGGTCACTGGCTCCAGATGGAAAACGACTCCGGCTGTCAGCCGCCGACCGCTCCTCCACTGCATTAGCCACGGGAATTTTCCTTAAATCATTTGGTTTTATTGTGTCACCGCGTCCCCGCTGTTCTCAAAAATGATCTCGGCGTGCTTCCGCTCTTTCATTTAAAGCGTTTCTTTTACTTTTGGATGCTGGTTCTGGGTCAGAAACACCGACTTAAGTCTGGAAAAAACATCTGAAAGAGTGACGTCCACACACACCAAACGGTAAAATGACATTTATTAAGACGAAGGCCAATCAGTCTGTGGACGGTCAGAGCTAATCTCAACAGATCCAGGCATAATTAAACCCGATTCAATATGCCATCGATCCAAACGCCGACACGGGCAGCGGGACATCAAATAACCAAACCCGCATGTCAAAGGCTTCACTTTGCTCCGAGGAAACTAATTAATCTCCTCAACTATTATGACAGAATAAGAAATGAGTCGGCGTGTGTGTGTACACACAGGGTTGACGTGGTAAGATTGTAGCTAACAGAGTGGATTTGAGTCTCAGTCTATATAATTAAAGTCAGGCTTCAGTTATAAGCTCCCGGAATCTTTTCTGCTCCCAATAAAGGTGTGGAATATTAAAAAACAAAACAGTTAAGGCTCCGAAATCAGGGATTCAGATCCAGGTGGTGAAATCCTGACCTCAGTGAGAAATAATCACTTTTTTAAATGTCTTTTTCCGTATCTAAATTTGCTGAAAGTTTAGCTGAATTGAGCAGAGATTCGTTTCTTAGTGGTGTAACTAAGGATTTGTTCATGTGACCTGGTGCAACCTCCCCATCAGGCAAAGGTGATTGCTTGTGGCAGAGGTGGAAAACACGGAATCAGTTTTTGATTCATCATAAGAGGAGTAAAATAGGGGTCAGGTGAGTCTTTTTTTAGATTAAAGCCCTCGTATCTAAGCAGACTGATGAGTTCTCCCTCACACTGATCCACAAATCTGCATCATTTTCCAGCATTCGATTAGAAAAATATTAAAATATGCCACATTGCTTCATTATTTTTTGTATTTTTTTCAAATTTCCGTTGTGAGTGTGTTTATACCCAATTAAAATTTGCTCTAAACTTCTAATTAACTAACTTCCTTGTTTATTGTGACCCAGAGAAAATGACCTGAGTGTCCAGACCTCAAAATAAAGTTTCTCAGGGCGTTTTTGCGTGAAGCTGAACGGTTCGTGTCAGAACACAGCTAATCTGATTATTATTTGGCTCCAAACCTGCTGAGAGAGGGCACAGAAACACGTTTAGGTGATAATTTCTCCCCCCCGCCCGCCCCCGGATTCAGATCTAACATCACATGGAATAAAGCAAACGCTCTCCACCGATGTTCTGCTGTCAAACGTTCGTCTGGGCTCTGAAGTGCTTCGTGGTGGGGTTCCCGAGATGAAAAAGAGGCAAATCTTTTGAACCCAGCGCCCGTGGGGGGGGCATTGTTTGTTTGCTGTGTTTACGCACGGATCCATCTGATCTCTACATCTTATTTCACACGTGTCGACCCCCCCCCCTAAAGGGGTGTCAAGCATTTTTGAGGAAGCTGGATTTAAGCAGATAACCTTCCCGCTGAGCTGTGTGCGCGTTTGACATTTTAAATCAGAAACCAATCAAGATTCTGTATTGAGGTAATCCCGGAGTCTGTTGGGGAGGAAATGGCTCCGAAATGAGACGGCCTGAAGGATGCCTAACGCATCCATTATGCATTTATTTCTCTGAGAAAGCCCATATCTGGCGTGCATCTGCAGAATAGGAGCGGTCAGAGTGTGTTATCAGAGTACCAGAGCCAGGAAAACCTGTAAGTCTGTGAGCTAAAGCTAAATAAAAGAGACCAGGTGGCCTTCTCCGGCCAGGATTTGCACTATCGACGAAAAAGTCGATAATCGTGGTTTAACCCACGCCAGACATCAAAGATCTCATCAACTTCATTTCTATTAAGTTTCCAAAGCTGAGACCTGTGTTTCCATTCAATATCGTTTTTGGTTTCCAATCTCCCTTTGCAAACCGCACGCTCGCCCGCCGCCTTTGATGTTCCTGTTCAAATGAATTATACTCATGATCTGAGAATGGGCTCAAGATCTTAGAGGCGATGGGTCAAAACCCCCACCGGAGGAGCTGAGAGGAGCCGTTCAAACACTTGTGCTGGTCTAGCATTTCGGCTTTAGTCTCACAGAAAACTGTAAAACAAGCGAAAATGTTTGGGCTGTTACACTCTGCCTGACTTTATTATTAATCCATTTCAATTTTAGTCGTTCTCTGATGTCTTTTTTTATGAGAAAAGGCTTGTCGCCGTGCCAGAAAAACAGACGTTAACATTTATTCTGAGGGTTAGCTTGTTTTTATTTTAACTCCATGTGAGTTCTGTTAAACTTACTGGAGTTCTCTGTAGTTTAATCTTTCCACCTCTTAAAAAAAGACTTTTCTGACTGCATAAGACTCCTTTTGCAACATTTTTACAAAATGGAGCAGAAGCCGTCTCTCCATATTCAATAACGCGCAATAAAAACAGAGTCATGTACATCAGCCGGGATCGATAGGTTGTGTTTCGTGAAAGGTCCTCAAACTACCACGAGACCGCGTTGAATATTTCATGTCTACGTTTGGGATCAATACATCACGCTGTCGGCTTTTGAAGGACTTCACTAATATATCTGTCAGGAAAATCAGAAAGCGGTTGGGTTCATTTCTCCCGTGTGTCTCCGAGGCGGCAAAACAATTAACAAAGCGGAGGGAGAGGACTAAATAAAGGGGAAACTGGACTCCGCCCAGCAGATTTCATCGTGGATTTCGGTTTAATGGCCGCCCAAGGCATGTTCACGTGTTGCTAAACACTAAATTGCGACTGTTTTTCAGGATTTTCTCATTGACTGAATGAACTTTAATAGGAAATATCAAAAAGACATCAGCAATGAGACCACGGGAAGGAGATATCCCAAAAAATAGAGAATTTCTATCGTTCCTTTTTGAAAATCTAAGAGGCAAGACGCTATCTGAACTGATATTTCTCCACATTTATGCGTTATTTTTCACACTTTACAAGTTTCTAATATCGAATTCCACCTGTAAAGAATTAATATCTTCTGTGTTTGAACTTTTCACCCTCATCTGCTTTCTGTCTTTTTTATTTGCAGAAGCTGGGAGGAGAAATCATCTTCTGAGTGATCAGTGCAGAGTGAGGACATGACAGCCTTTTTTACTATTCTACTTTCATATATCAGCGGTTGTATCATTGCATGCAGACCCCCCCCCAGGTGAGAGTCATGAACTTCCCCACCGAGCCATCAAAGGGCCGTCGTTATCATTCCTCTGTGATGGGATGGAGGTTAAAAAGGTTGCCTCATTTTCCAAAAAATCAATCCCTGGGGAACCGCAGAACCATGTTGGAAATCAGAGCAGGAGAACCATCATCGTTATTATTTTCCACATAAAAGTCGGAGCTCCGAATGATGCTCTGATCTCTGAGCCTTGACGTTCAGAAAATACACATTTTCACCATCTTACATGTTGATCGTTAGATTCTATTGTTAGGATTTCCAAAGTTTGTGAAGCCTTTGGGGGTTTTTTTGGTCTCTGGCTGATCCTGAGACCGTAGTTCTGCCTCCATCCCCATTTTTTTTTCAGTCAATTTTTTTTTTTTTATTGTATTATTTTATTATTTAAGTAATAATTCTACTGCTTTTAATATTTTAAAAACATTTATCTTTTTAAGTTGTTCACATATTAATCAGTATTTAAGATTTTGTTTTAATAGTTTGTTGTTTACCGTGCAGTTTTTGCTAATTTAATTGGATAAAGAACTACCTCTCATTAGACAGTCATTATCACTTCTCTTTCTTCCTCAGGGAAAAAATGTGCTGGTTTTAAAACAGACAAACTGCAAATGACTGAGTCATTTCATCATATTGTTTGAAGCTGCGGATTAGGTCTTTGCACTTGCTTTAAAAACAGTTAAATGAATATAAAAGAAAGTATTTTATAAAATATTTATAGAGTTCTGAATTCTGTGAAACTTATTTCTCATGTTCAGGGTTTCTAAAGAGAAAAACAAACACTGTAGCTTATGTTGGCCTGTAGGGGGCAGCATGCAGCTACGGATTACCCGGATATACGTAACGACATGTGACCACGACCGGAAGTAAATAAACGCCATTCCCGCGCAGTTGAATCGGTGGAACAGAGCGTTGAAGATTACAGAAAGTCCCCGAAATGGACGAGCTTTATCTGGATAATATTGACGAATATGTCAACGACCACGACAAGATAGTAAGCGTGTTTCTGATCCGACATTATCCTTTCGGTTTTAGGTTTTCCTGGTCGAGTTAAAGGCGTTTTAACAGGTTAGAAAGCAAGCTAGCACTGGCATGGTTAGCTTTTGAATGTCATTAAAAAAACGTAATGTTTAACCTGTCTCTGCTTTCCCTAAAATACGAGCCATAATACATAAATAATGATTGATTTTCTCCTTTTGATTGGGATTGCTGTGTAATTCGGCACATTAATTATGTAATAGATCCCATCCAAATAGAAAATTACAGCAGTTTTTCAACAGTTGAGCTGTTAATTTAATTGTATTGAATCAAAGCAACAGTTGTCACGGCCAAACGTTGGACCACTCAGAATGATGCCTTGGAAGTATGCAAATCTGAAAAGTTTGAAAAAAGAAATTAAACATTTTCTTTACATATCTAACTAGATATTCTATTTTCTTTTAATCAGGTAACTTATAAATGGCTGAGTCTCACTCTCGGAGTCCATGTTAACATAGCAAAACAGTAAGTGTCCTGTTTATGTTTTTGTTTTGTTTGTTTGTTAAAAGAATAAAGACTTTTCCTAAATATGATAAGCTCAAATATAATGTTTTAAGAATTTGGAGGCAAACGAGTGAAACTAAGACCAGAATTTGACTCCGTATTCAATTTTTCTTGTGTTTTCAGGATGCTCTACCATTATTTGGAGCACAAGAGAAAGGAAAGCTCACCTCAGCTCCACGCCACCTACCTGGTGTCGGGAAAGTTAGTGGAAAACGGTCAAACAGTGAGTCACGAAAAAAGCTCATGGTTGTTTTTTTTCGTCCTTCTAATCGCACCAGCCTTAATTTTGATCTGACTTTGTTTCGTTTTGTTTTGCTTTTCAGTGTCACAAGGTGTCAGTTGTCAGAGAAGACCAGTTAGAAGGTGCGTAAATATGATTTATTCTGTGAAGCAATGCCTGATTAACGGGTTTCTCATTCAGTTCTTCTTTTTTACATTTTTCACTGTGGTCTCATTGAAGTTTGGGGAGTGATTTCTGCCGTTTCTTCTGCAGATTTCAAAGCAAAAATGAGCCCGGTCGTCAGCGTGCACGTCTACAGCGTCCAGAAAGCTTTGCTGAAAGACAGCAACCCCCTCTACATCGTCGACTACGACGCTGTGAAAGACAACCTGAAGAGCTGCAGCAGGTACGGAGCGGCTGGAGGGGGGGATTTACCGGTGAAAGGTGTTTCCGGCCGGGGTTTAAGACGCGTGGCCTCTGCCCGGCGTGTGCAGGTTCAGCGCCATCCGCTGCCCCGCCGCCGTGCCCCTGTCCTCCGCCCAGCCGCAGCAGGGGCGGGAAACCCCGGGGAATCCCCCCCCCGAGCCGGAAACCAGAAAAACAGGGATGAACGGGCACGCCAACGTCGCTCCCAAACCGCCCGCAAAGCCACAGAAAGGCATCATGGGAATGTTTTCCAGTAAGCCCGCCTCCAAGAATCAAGACGGCGGAAAAGAGATCAAGTCTGAAGTTAAAGAACATCCACCATCGGTGTGTTTCCGGCTTTGTTGTTGCGCTTAATAGCTCTAAAGAGAAACGGGTGCCGTTTGTGCTTATGATTATTTTGTGTTTTAGGAGGATGTCCCCAAAAGTAAACCCGTAGCAAAAGTCAACCCCATGTTAAACTTCTTTGGAAATCAGACAACAAGTGAGTAAATGGGTTGTGCGCTCAGACTGGCTGTCGGATGCTTCTTTAAATGTTCGGGGGTGTTGTTCTTTTTCTATTTTTTTATTTAATTGTTTTTAATTCATTAATAAAGTTTCTTTTTTTTGTTCTTTTTCCTTTTTTTTTTTAAAGAATTCATCTATTTTTCTTCTTTTTTTTCTCCTTTTTTTAAAAGAATTTATGAATAAAAAAAAATTAAATTGTTTTTCTTTGTCCTTTTTTTTAAAAAGAATTAATCAATTTTTTTTAATTGTTGTTCTTTTTTCCTTTTTTTAAAAAAGAATTAATCAAATTTTTTTTTTAAATTCTTGTTCTTTTTCTAAGCGAGCTGCCTGCTACACCAGCAGCTTATTGTTTGTTTAGCCTGCAGAGGAATTGAACTTAACTGTAAGATGTGATGGAATAAAATGCCTCACAGTTTGGATACATCTGTCTTTCTTCTCCTCTCTCCTCCACAGAAAAACCCGACAAACCCGTGAAGCAGGAGGAGGCGGCTGAACGGACCTCCACCCCCGAGCTGCAGCCGCCCAGTTCCCCGACCGAGGAGAAAGAAAAGCCGAAAGGAGAACCCGAACCCCCGCCCAAAGACTCCAGGAGGTCAGTTTCCACTCGCGCTTTTGCGTCCTCCAACAGACCCCAGCGAGCTTCACCTCACCAACCTCCTTATTTCCTTTGTTTTAAAAGCAAGTCAAAGAGAATAGAGGACTCTGGCAGCGAGGAGGAGAAGATGGAGAAGAAAAAGAGGCGAAGGATCAAAAGGCCAGAGCCGGACAGCAGCGATGAAGACGGTCAGCGTCTGTTTTCTGTTTGACTTTTGAAGGATTTTCATAATTTCGCTTCATTGAGAGGCTCGAAATCCCTGGAAAAAATGGTGAAATTGGAAAAAATTGGGTTTCTTCTGGTTTAATTTTGTCACCCATTCAGTCGGGATGCTACACATGTTTTTTTTAAACCTGATTTAACATTGAATATTTCAGAGGGTCCCTTAAAAACATGGATTCTGCTCAGTTTTATTTCTAAATGTCAAAAGCTGACTGCAGATTTATGTTTATGTTTATGCATTTGGCAGACGCTTTTATCCAAAGCAACTTACAGAGTAGAGACAATATTACATTTCTCATCACTATGACAATAGATTTGTCTTAATGTTCTTTTAAATGAGACCAGTCCAGCACTGGTGGGGTTTGGTTATGATTCAAAGCTTTTCATTGATTTGTGAATTTAAATCGATCCTGAAAAGAGTTCAGAAAGGCCTCCATTCCGTCTGTAAATCCAGCTGCTTCAGAAATAAGCTGAGGACTCATTCCAGCCTTTCCTGTCCAGTTATTCCAGATTCTCCACAGCAGACGGAAACACGACAGCCGACTCTGACAAAAGAGCCCGACACGGTTCAGCAGTCCCAGGTAAACGAACCCCGAGAGCAGCAGACACCTTTTCCCCGTGAGGGCTGGTTCACCAGGGTTTCTGATTTCCAGGGAAACTCGGGAACGAAGATGAGGAAGAGGAGGCGCGTCCTGAAGTCCCGCACCTTTGTGGATGAAGAAGGATGCATTGGTACGAAAGCCTCAGAGAAAGAAACCCTCTCTATTCGAGTTTAAGCCTTAAACTCCCAATTAATCTGCTCCTCACTTCCTCAGAGCCAAAAAAAGCTGTATTTTTTATTTATTTGTTCATTCATTTGTCTGTTTATTTAATTGGAGTTTCTTGCTTTGAAGAAGAAAGACACTCAGTCAACCAAACCTCAGCAGAAACAATAATGGATTCGCATTTTTAACCCTTTAATGCCTGACCAGAGTAGAAAACATTTTAGGAAAATATTTCTTATACTTTTTTTTTAATTCATTGTGGCAAATAGATTCCGAATCAGTACTTTTTCTTATGGTAAAAGCACCAACATATCAAAGAAAGAAAGCATTTGTTTTTCTTTCAGCTTACTAGCTTACTAGTACTAGAAATGGTTTGAGATGGGTTATTTCCACATATCTTAATATGGTAAGAAATAATGTGGTAAAGCTGGACATAACAGAGCTTTATTTACCTCTAAATGACTCAAAAATGTGTTAGAAATAAAAAAAATTCTTCACTTTGGCCAGCAGACGGTCCTGAGTTTGGTCGATTGGTGGAAGTTTGTGTTGATTTCTGACTGTAGTTTTTTTTCTTCTGTGCAGTCACAGAAAAATGCTACGAGAGCGAGTCCTACTCTGAGACGGAGGAGGATTTCCAGCCCAGCAAACAGCCGCCCAGAGACCCCGTCAGAGCAAAGCCGTCAGCAGGCAGCAAAGGGGACGACAAGAAGAACCAGAAGAAAGCTTCAGCCAGCTCCAATAAAGGAACCAAACAGGCCTCTATTATGGGATTTTTCCAAAAGAAATGACAGCAAAAAAAAGCTCCAGATGTTTTCTGCTGGTTCCCAGCCCCAACAAGCACCCCCCCCCCCCCATCTTTGGGTTGGACTTCCCCACCTCGAACAGGTGGAATAAAAACAGTCGACCGCTCTAAAACACTTCAGACATGGACGTGTCCTGGTCAATTTTAGTTTAGTTTTTTTTATAAACCATCATCAGCTGTGAATATATGTGTTGTTCAATAAATAATAAAAAACTGAAACTGTGTTTTTTCTCAACTGTCTGCTCTTATGAGAAGAAATCAAACTGAGAATAAAGCACTTTTAAATGAGACGGGCAGAATATGTATTCATGTAGTCTTTTGTATACATAATACTGTCATAAAAACGGGCTGAAAAGGTTAACAGAGGCCCATATTTTAATTTCCTCTTTAGGCTAAAAACAGCCTGGAAACAGAACCCCACACACACACAAATTCACTCAATTCCTTCCTGCATGGCTGTGAGGTGATAATCTGATTTAATATCTCAGCAGATGAGCAAAACCAGACAGGCAAATCCAAAAGAAACATCTTTGACTATTTTGTTTGTTGTTTGTCTTATTATTGTGGAAGAAATGTGGAAGATGCTAAGAGCCCTGGAAAATAAGTGCGAGATTTTGGGAGAGTTTGAGGTTTTTCACGGCTGTAACTGCAAGCAGTCTCATGCAAATTTGTTTAAATCACTTTAAAGTTGGAAAAAAAAGACAAAAAATGTCAGAATATGAAAAAATACACATGTAAAATATAAATCTTTAGTGAAAGAATTGTGCACGATGAAGCTTTAGTTAGCAGAAGTTTACAGATAAAGAGAAGAAATAAAGCTAATCAATTTCATCCATTTTCTAAAACTGTTAAATCCCATTCAGGGTCATGAAGGCTATTAGACAAAGGCCATTTACACCCTGGAGTACAATCCATTTTTTAATCTATTCTTTAATTGATTCACCACTTGCTTTATTAAATGTAAATGCATTAATCTATACACTTAACAAGTGTGCAAAACACAAAGCCACAGCCTGAAATTAAAAGATTTCATGGATGTCTTCTTTTCTCTCTTTTTCTTTTCCCGGAGGTGTTTAAGTTGGAAAGCCTGAAAGTGTTTGTCAGTTTTACTTACAGAAACCCTGAAGTGGGCTTTCCTTGAATTCATTTTTCATTTACGGCTGCATTTGAGCCTTTTCCTGCTAAGTGATTTTCATTAGGAGCATGAAAAAGGGCTAAAAATCCTTTTGAGTCGGTGAAGCTGAACCCGCTGGGACCAACAGGTGGAAAAAAACAAGTAAAACTATTTTAATTCAAGTAATTATCAAGCTTAAATAAGTTTAAAAGCCAGTCAGAAAGATGTGTCTGATTTTTTTTTTCTCGACGCTTTGCTGCTCGTGGTAGTTATCAGAGTTTGGCATAATTTGACCCCAGATTTGCCTGAAAATACCACAAATAATTCTCTAAAACCAGAAATGGATTGGAGTCAGTTTAAGTGTCTGCCCAGCTTCTCTCTGGGTACAAAATAATAATTATATGAATAAAATGGATGGATTTCTCTTGTCTTGTTATCAGATGAATGGCTGGTACTTTAACCAGACAAATGGATTCAACATCTGGAACTTTTAAGATAGGTCAGACTTTGGTGGAAACCTTTAACCTAAAAGATCTAAAAAAAAAAAAAAAAAATTTGGTTTTTCCTTAAAAAAAAAAATAAAATTAACACTCTGAAATGCAAACCAAGGCTCATTTCTCAGGATTCTACCGTTCGCCCATAGTTGGTCTTGTATTCTGGGAGAGGGTTAGAGGGGGGGGGGTGGGGGGGTGGGGGGGTCAGTGGAAAATGATTTGAGCTGTAATGTACTATTGATATTGTTCTCTATTCTCCAAACTCTTAATGATTAATGTGAGTCATGATTAATTGATGCGGTCACATGGGGCTGAAACAGCTGCTGTTTCTCTATATCTTCTGACATTTTCACAACGGTCAATGAACCAAATGAATAAAACAAGAGCCATCCACAATAAAAAATAATGATTGGTTGCACCTATACATTCAACACAGAGAGCTCTCCCCTTCAGCTCATATTTCATATAATTTGGAGGTTGTCCTGGTCATTTCAGAGGATTCAAAATATCTTCAGACCGACTTTTGTTGAGTGAAACATCTGGAAGTTCCTCGTCTTCCTCAGCCTGAACTCCTGATGGATTCCTTTCTGTTCATTTGACCCTCTGGAGTTTTTCACCTACTGAGTTAAATCTTTTTTGGTCTATTGGTCTATTGGTATTTGGTCTATTTAGTAAAGACAGAACAAGTGGGGGGAAAAAGTATTTGCAGATACTCACAAACTCATTAAAGCCTTCACAGTGGACGTCCACTACTGAGCTGTTGGCATTAATAAGTAAGAGCCAGCTGTTAACTAATAGGCTTTGCAGGATGCTGAGTCCTTTGTCACGCAGGAGGATTTGAGGTGGGATAAGGGGCATATCCTCCTGAGACCCAAAGAAAAAAAGTGTCTTCCAATTTCTTTTTTTGTTGTGATTTTCCATGTATTTTGACCTAAAAAGAACATTACAATTTCAATTTAAAAAAATATATTTTTAATTTTAATTTCATAGCATGTCCACTGTGGAGGACAACAGGACGATTTGCAGGGGAAAATAGAACAGGCTTTAGATAATTAAATAATAAAAAAGAAGATGTCTTGAAAGGGATATTTACCTAAGAACTCTTAGGAAAAAAGTAAAGTTCCCAGCATGCAAACCTGTCACATGGCACATCACTGGAAAGCCCAGGATGTCCTCTACAGAACACTATAGGGCTTGATAGGGTAACTCCAGATACTTAGGGGGGGTACAGGTGGACAAAATGTCCACTATAATGGACATAAAGGAATGGGCCGGGTCTCAGGAGGATATAACGCTGCGTTATGATTTTATTTTCTCTCAGAATCTATAAAATATGCAGAATAATTCAACAAAGAGGGAGCGAAGTAGCCCAGAGAGGAGGTGTGAGGGCAGAGTCTGGCTCCCAGGCTGCAGCACCACACCCTTTTCCCTCCGCCAGCAAACAAGTGGGCAGGCAGAACTGGTATTTCGGATTAGCTGAGCACTCAAAAATGAAAAAGGATATCCTACAACAGCGTATCAGGGAGCGGCCTGGAAAGGCGCGCAGCCATTAGCGGTTCGCCACGGCTTTTTGCTCCATTACGGCAACTGTTGAATGAGCTCAGACGTGATTCATCTTTATTTTAGAGGAGCTCCCCACAGCTGCAGCCTCCAGAGCGCCCGACAGCTGCGTCACCCACCGGCCGGCCTTTTACCGTCTCACCTCGGCCCGGGCGGGACAGTGGCACCACTGTTTCCCATATTTCCCTTTCAAACAAATGAGACAGATGTGTTTCCAGCATTAGTCACAGACATGGAGCACTTTTTATACTCACAGTTTGTCCAGATCCAAGAAAAAGTCTGTCATGTAACATGTGAATATCCAGAAATGTAAGCACCGGGTAGAGACTGTGTATATACACATTAGGAAAATGGACCATAAAATAAACAATACGGAGGTTTAACATCCTTTTCGGTGGATCTAATGTTTAGTGACTTGTTCACTTTGCTGGTTTAGAATGAAATAGAAACATATTTTATCACTCCATCAACAAGTGACAGATCCAGAGAAAGCAGGATGAAGTTTTCCAGGCCTTCCTCCGAGTCCCACATCCCACTCCCAAATGGGAAGCCATCCCAGGACGGATTTATCTTTCGTTACCTGTTAATGGAGTCTCTGACTGACCCAGTAAAATAGTTTAAAAAGATCTTCGGCAAAGCATTTGCCGTCCACACAGCTGTCTGGTAAAGTCTACTCTGCTAGATCTAACAGGTTTAGGGAATAATTCCTATTATTATAGCTGTTTTTCTATGCTTCACGTGACTATGTTGCCTGAATTAGATATATTATTGGTAAAGTCTACTCTGTTGGATATTAGGGAATATTTCCCATTATTATAGCAGTTTTTTTCTGTTTCAAGTGACTACTTTGCCTTACGATTGGATTATTATTGATAAATTAATCAATTAACATGTAATATAGCAAGATATCCTGCATTTAAAAAAGCTTTAACTTGAGTATTTGTATCCATATCAGATTAGATGAGGGTGATTTTGCATTAGAGCACCAAAGCGGAGCAAAGCTCTCTGAACGTGGCCCAGTGTGTGTGTGTGTGTGTGTGTGTGTGTGTGTGTGTGTGTGGGGGTGTGGGTGTGTGTGTGTGTGTGGGGGGGGGGGAGCGGGGGGGGAGCGGCCGCCCGGCAGGGTGACGTCATGCTGAGCCACAGCTCCCCGCGGCGGGCGGGGTTAGGCAGGCGGGCGGGGTTAGGCGGCCAGTCGCTGATCCACCGGTGTCATGGCTTCCTAATCGGGAGAGTGTGGCGAATGAGAGGAAAACAAGGGGTTTTGTCTGAGTACCCGCCCGATCATTGCTCTTCCCGGTAATCCGAGACCGGGACACAGGGGCTCGGCCTCCCTTTTCGCCCCGAACGGCCCGTCCCTGGGATCCAGGACACGCTTGAATTTTTTTTTTTTTTTATCGGTGAATTTCCATTCGTTAACGGTGGAAGATGGCCGACCCGGCGGAGTGCACCATCAAAGTGATGTGCCGTTTCAGGCCCCTGAACAGCTCCGAGGTGACCAGGGGCGACAGATACATTCCCAAGTTTCAGGGGGAAGAGACCGTTGTCATTGCGGTGAGTTGTTTTCAGCCGACGGGCGGCGGTTGCCCGTCTTGACAGAGCCCCGGGACACAAGTCAGCTGTACGCCATTTTTGATTGTCTGTTAGCTTCGGCCGTTAGCTCTTAGCTAGCTTAGCCGCTAGCTTAGCATCGCTGACCTGCTCACCGTTGTTAAGCTAAGCTGTCGGGCTGCTGCCAACTTCTGCAACGGTTGGGTCTAACACCAAACGTTTTCGTGTTTTAAACACCTTCAAATCGACCAAAGAAGCAAACCACAC